TTGTTTAACATTACACTTTGCCAAGCTGATCCTTACTGGGGCTTTCCATTTCTGGAGTGTTCAATCTCTCTGAATCCAGTAAAAGTTGTGCCAGGTGGTTATACAAGAAGTGAAGTGGTAGAAACAGATTTTTCCTCTACTTTCTCAGCTAGTAGAAGCCCAGCTTGATGTGTCATAGATTTGCTTTCTCCTCAGAGCACAAATCTGTGATGGTTCCTACCCAAGACCCAAAGATTCTGCACAGCCCACCAGGTCAGATCCTGCTCTGCATGGCATTGGCATAAACCTGCATTAACTCAAGTGCCTGACTTAATCTGGGTTTACCCTCAGGTAAGAGAGACTGATATCTGACCCAGTGTGCTGAGTGAGATCCTTGGCCTGTGGCCAGTGGGTTGTAGGGAAGAATGAAAGACAGTTACCCTGGATTTACACTGGGTTATCTGAGATTAATACAGGCCTTAGTATTTACAGAGCACCTACTGTAACTGCAAAGAAAAAAATATGGCAAAGCCAACATGCTACAAGGCCTCTATGTGTCTTTCTTCTTCTAAAAATCTTTTCATTGGGCTAGGTAATATAATAGGTTAATGAGCTAAATTGTAGCCTGAGGGACAGAAGTTTTATATTTAAACTTCCACCCACAGAGCTGAAAATGCCCCTTGTGAAAGTCAGAGCTAATGATGGAGCTTGTGTGTCTGGCTTGTAATTCCACCTTTCTTGATACAACACCAGTGAAATGGAGAATAGTCAAAAAAATGAAACTGGGAGCCTTGAACCATTCTGTGCTATTGGCTCCAAATACAGAACTTCAGTTCAGGACAGAATTTGAGGCACGTGAAATAGAGAAACAATTAACTAAAACTGGAAATAAATAAAAATCCATAAAAATTTTGTGGAGAATTGCTCCTGCTATATAACCTTGCCTCCTCAATTTTACCTTAGAAGAGTCCAAGGGACAACTGGAGGAGAGGAACAAAAAATTATAGCCTTGGACCTTACAGAATTAAAGAATTACTAAGGTTGGGAAAGACCTCCAAGGTCAAGTCCAACCTTTGACCAAACACCACCTTGCCCACTAAACCTTAGCACTGAGTGCCACATCTGCTTGAGTTTTGAGCACTTCCAGGGATGGTGACTCCACCACTTCCCTGGAGAGCCTGTTCCAATGCTTAACCACTCTTTCACTGATGAACATTTTCCTAATATGCAACTTGAACCTCCCTTGTGCTATCTCTGGTTGTCTGGGACAAGAGCCTGACCCTCCCCTCAACACAACCTGCTTTGAGGTGCTTATGGACAGCAGTAAGTTCTCCCCTGGGCCATCTTTTCCTGCCACATCACTGCTGGAGCAGAAGGGGAGAGAGCTGAGGATAGGGGGCAGCCTTGGGTGGCCAAAAAGCAGCCCCTGCTCACCTTCAAGCACAAGATCTGTGTCACCACCACAACTCGCAACCCCTCCAGCTCCCTGCATCATCTGGGACACGTTTCCAGTGCTCCAATGCCAGGTCCATGTCCTGCAGAGCCCCTGTCAGCACAGCCTGGGGCAGGGAATGGTGTGGAGCTGGGCTGTGTGTCCTGCTCAGCTCCCCAGAGAGCCACACACATAAAGACACGCTCTGTTCTTGCAGGAATGTAATTCTCGATGTAAAGTTTGTCAGCAGAAATATAATTCACCATGAAAGAATGGACTACTGTCTTGCTAAAGCATCAAGAGGCACATTTCAGCAGTCTGGGAGTCTGAGGCAAGTGTTGGGAAACTGAGCAACCTGTGTTTGTTCCTCTGACCAGCACAACTACAACAAAAATGTAAAAATGCTTCCAGTGCTAGAACATTTAACAGCTCGGATTTCAAACAAGGAGGAACTATTTCAAAGCAGAACGAGTGTATGAGATGTTTGTTTCTTTAACTGAATGCAAACTGGATGTGGAATTTCCTCTTGGAAGAAACGACTGAATGGGAGATGGCTTGGACTCTCTTTTGTATATTGCATCATGTACAAAAAAGGATGATATAATGAATTGCAATTCTGAAGAATCCAGGCAAAAATAAAATAAAATACCAATTTCAGGTTAACACCTTCAGTGGGTCTTGTGTTGTGCAAACCATGTTTCTATTAGGTTTGAAGACTCTGGGGTCAGGAGCATTGTATCACTCATGCTGAGTTAAATGCTAAAAATAATACTTATATCCCTTTAAGATAATGGGTTTAAAAGAGAAGTGGCAGCAGTGTAGAGCTGCAAGTTTAGTAGCAGTGGTAACAGAGGTCTAGTAACAGAGCAACTCTCTGTCTTTAGAGACTCTCTGTCAGTACAGTTTGTATCTCAAGCACTGGGCTAACAAAGGCAAATTCAGAGCCATTTAAAATAACTTTACAATCTTGGCCTTATGTGTTTGCAAAGTGAACTAGATATATCAGTTTCTTGTGTAACACTTGAAACATGCTGCAAATATATTAAGAATATATAAACGTGACAATTAGCTCCAAATGCTTTCCAAAAGCTACAGGACACAGCAAGGACCAGCTGCAAATAAACCTGACAGAAAATGGGATAAAATCCCTCTTCTTTCAGGCATGGATAATGACTACAGAGCTGTTGCTAAAGTCAATGGATGAGGTTTGGCTGGTGAGTGCAGGTCTCAGATCAGCATGGCCTCATCTCCAGCCCTCACCTCTTCTACACGAGAGCTGAGGACTTAAAATCACAATTTGTCTGGGTAGGTGTGGAGGTTTTACTGCTGCAGGGAGCTCCTTGGGGAGCTGATCCATCTCCTCAGGCACAGAGTCTGTGTGTTCTACAAATACTGCCACTACTAACACAAAAATAACACTGTCATACCACCCAAAGAGCCTGCTCTATTTACAAGTTGTATCTGAACTTGACTTTTTCAATGAGGTTTTCCCTCTCTCTTACACGACTTCCCAGCATCTTCAAAGAGGATCTTGGTTTGGGAAATTAAGGATCAGTGGCCAAGTCACCAGGCAAGCTGTTTGCACACAAAGCATCAAGGCCCATTATTTTAATCTCTGATAATTACCACTGTTAGTTAAATCGTGCTTCCCTGATGGTTCTCAACAATAAGCAACAAATGCACAACACATTAATTGCACAAAGTTGTTGCTTGTTCTGAGATCAATTTGTATTAACAGAAAAAAAGTTTCCATCTTAGTCAGCAAAGCTCTCTCACAGTGACTTTTACAGGGCTGGGAACAAATGTTTTACAGTGGAATTTTGCCCTGGAAGGATGAGTGTTAAAGAGTTCACTATAAGCTAATGGCTACAGACTTTGTGCTTCTCCTTAAAGGAGGAACTGTTTTTAAGCCAGAGTTGCTGATAGCTGTAAAGGCTCCTCTCCTAAGTCCAAGCCCTGTATTAAAGCTTCTGGATCCTCATGATGAAAATCCTTCACTCAGGATTTGTGAAGAATTGAATTCCACTTTAAACATTTCAGCTATCTGGGTTTCTGGAACAATACATTTTCTTCTAAGAATTGTACCTACCCTTTTCTGTAATCTCTACCCCTCTACTCAGAGAATAAGAATCTAATTGTGTGACCTAAGTGTCCGGTCAGAATTAACCAATATGTCTAGAATTTTAAATGCTCATTACAAACCAAATCTAAGTCCAAGAACATCCTGCTGGACTCACACAGGGTGAAATTCCTGGGAAGCAGAGCACTGGCACAAGCTCCCTGCAGACAGAAGCAGGTCACATATGCAGCACACAAGCTTTTGTGCCCTCCTGCACAGGGATGATCCTGATCCTGAGTTAAGAATCACAAACAACGAATGATTTTGCACTGATCCTGCCCTGCTCACATGCAAACATTAAACCCATCAAACAACACTGTTTACTGTGACCCATGTAAGACTGCAGCCCTCCCAGCAGTGAGCCAACATCTTTATCAGATTGGAGCTGTTCACACAACACTGAACTTTCAATCCACGTAATCAGTGAATACACAATTATTTCATATTCCTCCCTATCAAGAGAACCCGGGTCCGTTTGCATGCCAAAATGTTTTAGTGTTCCACAAATAAATAAATAATATTATTTCACCTGTTAACACATGGGGACTGTTTGTTTTGGCCAGCTTGCATGGACTCTGAGTGCCAGGTTATGAATAAAATAATGTTCAATACTGTAAACATCTTGTGACATAAATTCCTGGCTCAGCATAAATACAGACACTCTGTATGTGGCAGGTTCTTCCTGCATTCTCCAGCAGTGACACCACTAAATTCATGTATCTATGACAGAGTATATACATAACTGTAATTCCTAAAAAAAAAAGCAATCACAGATAAGCCAATTTGCCCATCCTGGGCCTCTGCTTCATTGGATTTTGCTTGCTGGAGTTTGGGTTTTTGGAAAGCAAAGTGCAACTCCTGCATCCCAGTGGTTTCTGCATATGCAGTACATTCCAGAACAGAAAGTAGGTTTTCTGTTTAAAGAACAGCACAGTTAGAAAGATAAGATAAAACCAAACTGGAATATAATATTACTGGGAATTTGTAGTCCTTTATGCAAACACGGAGTCAGTAATGTAAAGGATGCTTTCTGAACAACACTGGCAGGGGTTGAGTTTCTCACACTGCCAGGCCTCCTTCCCAAGCAAAACCTCATATTACTCTAAGATCAGAATGCAAGTACAGAGCAGACTCAGCTCTGGTTTAATCCACTGCATTCAGGAATTAATTCCACTGATGTCACTGGAGAAACAACGTTCAGACAGGCCTAAGTGAAGGTAAGCTCCATCCCTGAGGAAGGGACTGAGGTTTTAGCTCTGCCTTTAAACTGAAGCCTTTCTTTCATTTCAGGTGTCTGGAATGAGTCTAGGACTGGACAATGTGTGTAGATCCCAGGCTGCCCTGAAAACCAGTTAAACCATTGCTTCCTAAATATTTAAACTGCAATTTAATGCAGACAGCAGACAGGAGCTCAGCACCCTGAACATCTTTGCTCTCAGAAAGAAAACAGCACAAGGTGTTTGCTGTTACCTTGGACCAGTCTCCTGTTTTCCACTCGTAGCAGCCTGTGTGATCCTCGCACTCCTCCTCGTCTCTTGGCCTGGTGGCTGCATCACATTTCCCTTGGGAGTTTGTGCACGTCACTGTTCTTTTCTGAATTCCCCTGCCACAGTCTGCTGAGCACTGCAAAAAAACAGGGGTTTGGTTTTTTGTTACATGGTGCTTAGAAATGATGGCTTTTATGTTGGTAACACAGCTCAGAGGAAAAGCTGGGGTTATGAACACTGAGGAAAATGATAACCCATAAGGTTTTATTACAATAATCTAAGCCACTCATATATGAGTAATTTGAAAAGCATGATGACTGCTTGTGAAATATTTTACTTATGAAAAATGGCAATTCTGAAAATCAACCTTCTTTGAAAAATGTCAGCTGGCTTTTTGCTAGAATTGGTGCCACTAAATCTTGTGTTGAAGAGCTCCTCGTTCATACTGAAGGACACACTGAGATTCACTGCACAGAACTGCCACATCCCTTGATGGATCATGGGATACATCAAGGGTGATAAATGGTGGTGTTAAATGTAATTTTCAATCACAGCAGCATGAGACCACTGTTATAAACACGTTTCTCTAGTACAGTTTGTGCATATCATGGCAAAGTCACAATTCTCACACCTTCTCATGTGAAACACACACATCACGTTCACATTTTGCCTTGCCATCACTATCTTAATTCTGAAAAACTCTAACAAACATTCACTGAGTGAGCACAAATTACCCACAATGTTTTTGTGCCTGGGCTCTATGGGATTAGCTTCTAAAGAACAGGGATATCTGGTCACTCACTTGTTATCTTTGCCAATAGTTGGAAATTCTTGTTTAATGAAGAATTTGTCTTGATTTTCTTGGCTGTACGAGGTGAGAAAAGGACACTGGCATGAACTGAACCCGAATTTCTGTTTTCAATAGCCAGTTTGGTAACAGAGCACCTGCTGTCACAGCCACCTGAGTCCTTGTCACCACCCCTGAGCACAGCCAGTCTGCCTGCTCCTCATTCTCATGCCACTGCAGTGGTTAAGAGTGAGAAATTGTCTTGCAGAGCCACTGGGGACAGGTGGGTGGAGAAATGATCTATGTACCAGCTGAGATAAAAACTAACCTCCCCTGGCATGTCAAGTTTTCCCCTTCGGGGGGCCAGCAGGGAAAAGACAGTTGATTTGACACTGAATAAATAGTGCAGATATGAGATATTCTGTGAGGTCTTTTGAACGTGTTCCAAGAAGCTTCTCCATCCAGGGGGTCTATGCTGGAAACAAGCGTCAGCTTGATATAAATTACATCAAATGGACAAATCTCAGCATGCCTGTCTAACTGTCTTAAAAACACAATCCAGGCAGTTCTGACCTGCTGGCCTTGTTAAGGACATGAATGACAAGCGTTTATGAGCTGGCAAGCAAACAGACATGCCTTTAAATACTTCACAGCACTACAAAGTGACTTCTTGAGAATCTGGGAAACCTTCCACTTAATTTACTGTGTGCTGCTCACGGCGTGACCCCTCACGGATGTAACATCTTTGTAAGGAGCACAATCCATAGATCTGCTAAGACAGGGGGGTGAATTCTTCCCAGCTTTGCAGAATTCCACAAAATGCTTTGCTGGACTGCTCGGAGAGCGAGGCTTGCCAGAGATCCCAGGCTGGAGCTCCCTGAACGGTACCTTAAAGCCATGGATTTGCCCCAGGTTGGGTAGACTTTCCCAAATTATGTATCATTTTCCTCAGGCCCCGGGGTGGACTCCTCAGGGTTGCACTCGTTCATCTCAAACTACAAAGCTCAATATATAAAAATCTTTGGAATGGTCCAATTTGCTCGAAGTAAATCAAGCTGAAGTGGGAGTATTTTTCACAGTAGGAGAAATCTCTAGGTGGGTTTTACAAGCAAGTCTGGGAAAAACACCAACTGTTTGTTCTTCCCACAGCTTTTAAGTCATTCACAGATTAATACTGCATATACTTTCCTAGACAAAACAGCATGAGCAAGAAGGCTTCCAACAGATCTTTGGTGGTCACATATAAATCACCCTCTTTAAGAGGTTTTTTCCTTTCCTCAAGTCATCTGTTTTCATGAAGAATTTCTTAATATATAGATTTTACAGAGAGTCCACAAATTAATAGACAGTTCTGTGTGTTCACTCAATATCATTAAGTCTTATTTTATGAACAAATTACTTTGTCAGATCCCATGAAGCTTTGCAAAGGAGCAACACAACTTTGCAGTTAAGAGACAACTCCTTTATCTGAAGGAAATCCATATTTTTTTCCACTCTATTTCTCTAACAGTAGAAACATTCACCTTCTCCTGACAGTCTCTATTTTAATCATTAAAAATGGGTCGAGCAGTACTTTGTCCAAAACAATCTCAAGTGTTTGGCAATACAAGGGGAACTTAATTTTTTCCACGATGAAGATTGTATTGGAATTTGCTGTGAAAACACACATTTTTGACCAGGGACCAGATATCAGTGCAGTCAACTGTGTTGCATGAGCAAGAAGTTAAAAAAAAAATACTAGATCAGAAAATAGATTTATAAAATGGTACAATTTCAGTGATATTTATTCCTCAACATCAGATTAAAATGCTAAGGAATAAAGTGATTACCACTGAAGAAAATCCTCAGGTGTGAGAACAGTTCACATTGGCAGAGCATCAAATGTGTCCTGGAGTCAACTGAGCTTCATAACAGCAGAAATGGGCCAGAATAACAAATTTAAAATCACAAGTGCACAGTTACAGACCCAACAAAAGTAAATAAATGTATCAAAGGAAAAGTAAACCAGCTAGTGAAAAAATTATCTAAAAATGCCATGTATTTGTAAAGGAGTTACATGGTCATGGATATGGAAGATTTCCACTGATCTGTAACTTGACTTACTCTATTCCATAAAAGGGAGACAGAAGTACCTGGGATTGTTAACAAAAGACTCAAGGAAAAAATCCACATGTAAACCAGGTAGGAATTGCACCCTAATCTCAGCTATAAACAGGTCAGCTGGTTTAGCTATAAGAAATCAAGAGGGCATCCTCTGAAAGGGGAACACACAAAAGGCATATCAGACAACTTACTAAAACCTTGGTGTGTTTGTGCACATCTTTTGTAACAAAAGAATCTCATGCACCAGTGAAGGATCCAGCACCCCACTGAAAGGGAACACTGCTCTCACTTAACCATCACCTCTCCTGCCAAACTAAGATTTCCTGTCCAGGAGGTGCACAATGAAATCCCATTGTGTTTGTGAGGAGACACTGCTCCTCAGGATCCCTTCTGTCCTGAGCTTCTTTGACTTTTAAGCACATTTCTAACAATAATATCGAGCAAAAGCTCTTTGACAATGGTTTAAACAGGAGCTCCCTGTTCCAAAGAGAGGGGAATAATGAGGAATCCTTCCAGCAGGAAGGGCTGTTGCTGGACAGCCAGGCTGGAATGAGGCTGGTAGAGCTGCAACCCTGCACCCAGAGTGAAAGGAGCTCATCACTCAGGTGAGCCCAGCAAATACAAAATCAAAGTGAACATGGGCATCTTGTAAGGACTGCTGCTCACAGGGTACACACAAAGTTGCCCTGTACTAGCTGAGTCCTGGTCATGAACTGCAGGCACACTCCCAGATCACTCTGCTGCTAAACAAAACACAGGATAACTATCTAGAGCTCCCATTATTTACATCAGAAATGCATTCATAACACTTGGGAAAAATTTCTTAACTCTGCAACTACTTTGAGATGCATCTTTTATACAAAATATAACCAGCTTTTTCTTCTTCCTAGAATTATACAAAAGAAGGCTGGATAGGGCCCAAAGATTGTCCATTCTCTGTAACATGCAGATGCCTGATAAGCCTGGTATTTCTTCACACCACATTTAAATGGAGCCAGAAGCCCTGGGTTACTGCACTTCTGGCCTCAGGTCAGTGAAACATTTTCCCTTCTTGGTCAGAGTTTTCAGATGGAAAGATACAGTCACTAGAGCATATCTAAACACTGCCTTACTAACTCATCTGGTCTGGAAACCAAACCTGAGCTCCTCACTGCTCATCTCAACAGATGAGAGTCCTGCCCAGCACTCCGGCACAGTGAGGATGCTGACCATGAGAACCATGGATTAAGGCCAGTGTATGCAGAGCTCTGGGCAGTCTGGCTCCTCTCCAGTGAAGGTCCTACCTTTGACCACTCTGATGCTTCCCAGATGGACAGGCAGTCCCTTCCCTCACAGCTCTGCACCGTGGCTGGTTTGCTGCCCAGGCAGTAGAGGTCCCTGGTGTTGACGTAGGTGCCGTTCTGCAGCTGATAAACACAGGTGACCTCCCGGTGCTGCACTCCCTTCTCACACGTGGCAGAGCAGGGACTCCAGTGGCCAGTCACCCACCTGGGAGGAGGCAGAGGATAAATGTTAGCAAACTGTTAGAATAAAACATTATGCTTCACTTAAAGCCAGTGAGGAGTGGGCAGCTCTTCCTGGGTGTGGGGGTGCTTTGATGGTGCTGTGCTGCTGTCACCCTGAGCTCACTGATCCCCTCTGGGAACTGAAGTGTGTAAAGCAGCAGTGTCACTATGCAAGGGAATATTCCCTCTTGACTCCATGTCAGGCAAAACCCCAAACTCTGCATCATTCCCTTTAAGCCCACTCTCTGCAGTGGGGCTGGTTTTTTCTCTCAGATAGAGACAGACTTGTCTGCTGACTGTCCTGCAAGACCATTCCTTGCAAGGGAAAGGAGGAATCCTCCCCACTCTGTCTTCCAGCTCCACTGACTCCAGCAAGTGCTGGAAGAACCATAGTGGGGCTACAAGGCAGTGAATAAAGTGTCTAAGAAGGATCTGAAGGAGGAGGGATGGAGGGAATGAATTTTTTTCTAAAAGAAAAGCAGCATCGATCTTCAGCTTCCTGCAATCTGTCAGTGAGAACATGTTCTCTGTAATTACAGGCATTCCTGGATGGAGTGAGGGACTGGAGCAATAACTGTGCAGCCACTGAGCACAAGAAGGCTCTCATGCCTTTCTCACCAGGCAATTGACCTTCTAGCCTGTTATTTAGGACTGTCATCCAGATCTGTATCCTTACACCATGAATCTTTTACTTGTCACCCAGTCCTGGGCTGTCTATTATGGTAAGGGGCCCAAACAAGACTTCTCAGAAATAGGTCTGCTGAGAAATACTATCTCATTCTGCTGGAGACTCCTGTAACCCAGCTAGAACAACTTATTTACCACATTTCTTTTGAAGGTGTTGTGTGTTACTTCTCTGAAATGAATTAAAAAACTATTTCCCATCTTCCCATTCCTGAAGGGGAGAAAATCAGCTCAGCACCATTTGCAGAAACATCTTCACCTGCTGCAACTGTCATAAATTAATTTGTGAATGCCATGACTGGTGTGACAGCACTGATGACTGTGCTGACAGTGCAGGCAGAAGCCATTTGGTTTGAGCAGCACTGGGCAGACTTGGCCACCTGTCTTTTGTGGAACAGGGCCCTGTTCAAATGTTCCTGTGCATTAAAGCAGTTGACTGACACATCTGTGAATTTCTGTTGGCTAAAACAGCTGATGAGACATCAAACCTGTTTCTCCAGACTGCAGTTTTGGTGCATCTCTTTGGCCCAGGGCTTGGTATTTCTCCTATGGAATGGGAAAATGTCAGCTGGGAAATTGAATACTAGGGCTGAAAGCCTGACAAAAATAGCCCTGAAGTGCAGAAATCAGCATTCATGAAAATGAATAGCCAGGCCTCCTTGGTATCAGCTGGGCTCTGCCCTGTTGGAGAACCGTGAGGGAATTACCCACCTGGGGGAAGGACCCTCCTGACAAAGGCCTGGAGGGGCAGGAATGCCTGTGCTTTATGAGCTGAGTGTGAGTAACAAGGCTGGGAAAGGGCTCTGCCCAGGCTCCACTCAGCTAATATTCACTTCAGCACTGTGCTCTCACTGTGATCTACAGCTACTGGCAGAAGAAAAAGGGAAAGGGGCTGCAAGCAAAGGAGAAAGATAAAAATACATTCTTGGCAGAGGCTGTCTGTGAGCTTGCACTTAGGATGGGCAGCACACAGCATGCCAACTATTTCCAAGATGCCTTAAGAAGAAAGGTTATGGTTTTCCTTTTAGGAAGGAAAATTCCTTTCTAATATTTTTTGTTTGTTGCTCTTGTGCAGGGGAGAAATCACCTGGTTTCTACCCTGCTGCTGGTCTGTCAGTACCAGCACAGACATGACAGAGTGTAACTAGAAAATTAGCACAGAAAAGACAAGTATTACCATCATCATAAGAAGAATCATTGCATAGGGAATGAGCTGAAACCCAGGCTACCAATACAAAGATGTGTCTGTGGTGAAAACAATCTCCAGCTTCAGCCACCATTCTCTAAATCCACTCCTGATCCCAACCCTGTGGTTACAAATCAGGTGGGGCAATGCTGTAAGGGATCTCTGAAACCTCACAGCCCACTCTGCCCTGCCTGTGACAGACAAAATACTTAGAAATTAAAGGGTCTTTTCAAGTGGTGGTTTTACTTTCACATCCAGGAGACAAGTGACATTAAATGTCTAAATATTAAATTGCAACTATATTTCAGCAATGTTCACAACCAACATGGAAAGACAAAGGATTTATGGATAAAGTGATTAAAGATGAAAATTCCTGTCAGTTTCAAATTTTTGGAAGGAATTTGCAGCAAGATATTAGCAGAATTACTATCTGCAAGTAATATACACACAGGGGAGAAAAATGGGATGTGCAAGTAGTATCACATTATGGTAACTATTAAATTGCAGCACAGGTAGATTTTTGTCTCTACGCTGTCATTACACCTTCTGAACACACCTGAGTTTGTTTAACAACAAGACCTACTGAGAGGGTGATTTTCTTTAAAAAAGGGAGGCATTTTTCTTATGACAATGTCAAAAATACCTCCAGTGTTCTAACTGCAAACCCCAGGCTGGCTCTGTATTATTAACTAAGCCAATTAACTGCTGTACACTAAGCCCTGTGTATATCATATACAGAATTTGGCTTCCAGTTACACTTTAAGCCTATAAACTGATCTTAGGGATTGCTTGACACCAGAGTTCCTTTCAGCTTGGTCTTTCCCTCCCAGGTTATAACCCATCTTCTGTGGGAGCAGGGGAGTGCTCCAGCTGGGGTCCCAGGAGAGCCTCTCCCTTTGCCAACAAGCACTGATTACGTGACAAACACACTCATCTTTCTCACAGCCACAGGGATGCCTTCATGCCTGGTATTATTATTTTTTGTAATCTTACCTCGACAGAAGATTCCAGAGCTAAGTGATCCCTGCTGGTGGTTAGATTCAGGAAGAAAGTGATGAGCTTTTAAGCAGAGATTTTACCCCAGTCAGTGGCTGTCTTTCCAGCTGAAATATGCCCAGAAGGGTGTGATTTTCAAAAGCTTCAAAAAGCTGGGATGGGCAGGACATGCAATCTGAGAGGGCTGCTCTAAATCTTTGTCTTCTGAGTCTTCCTCAACCTCTGACCTCTCAGTATCTCTTCTGAGGAATTGGGAGTTCTTCTTCTAATCTGCTTTGGCAACACTCATCTGGAAGGCCCCTGGAGCAAACTTGAAATATCTTTTGGAGATTCAGTTCATCATTTGATCTTTCTATGGTCTGGATTAGTTTTTAACCTTGAATTATCTACTCTACCTGCCTGCCTAAGACTCCCACATTTTCTAGGAAAAAAAAAATGCCTGCAGCACATTGTACCTAAACCCAGGGGAGATGAATGTCTGCAAATGAGGGCTTGGAACTAAAGATTTGGGAAAAAAAAAAGTTAGGAAGAAAAAATGGATGAAGGCTGAAGGATGGGGGTGAGGGAGTGCAATCAAAAGACATGAGGTCACTTTGCAGAGATTTGCAGCCTCTTATAATATAAAGCCATTGCATCTTCTGGGGTAAGTATTGTGACCCATTAAATTTCCCCTGGTTGTTTCTGCCCTGAGCCCTGCAGAAGAACAGTGTGCTCTCTTCCTTAACTACACATCCATGCCATGTTCACACATCCCCTCACTACCTACAGGGTACTTCTGTTGCCTTCCCAATGCTACAGTGACCTTTATTTCCCTGCTTTCACAGTAAGAGCTTGATATGACCAAAGACATGTTTGCAATAACACATTTTTTTCTTATTAAACCTGTTTTTTTAGAGCTGGCCCTTATCTTTGACCAGTTTAGAGCCTGTGCTACTGCTGAGTAAAGCATCAGAGGAAACTTCCTACAAAATATGTCTGAAAAAGCCATGTGACAGAAATATACCTAAAGCCATGCACTGTGAGGGTTCTATTTCTAGCAGATTTTACTGAAAACCTTTTGGTTTAATGCACAGGTGAGGATGAGTCCATGCCCAGTTAGCACTGGTTGTCTTGAGCACCAGTTTTGATGCAAAATCATGTCAAAGTCACTCTTAGTTTTCTGAGGCACCTGGAGGAAACTGTGGCTCTACTGATTTAGGCAAAAGTCAGACCAACTTTCAGCAGGGCCAGGATTTTACATTGGATAATTTTAGCAAGAAGAATTGGAAAAGATTTCTGAGAATCAGTCATGTGGAACTGACAGATATACTTTGCTTACAGCTGTCAAACCAAGCTCATGCTTGACTGTGTAGAAGAAAAGTCTCTTTACAAATGGAATTGTGTTTTTCCTGAAACACACACACACTCTGCTATTGGACTGTCCTCTCCTCACACACTCCTGAGGCCCTCCACCACCTCTCTGCTGCACTAGGCTCAAAACAATCAGGTGAATCTTGTCTTTTTGGGAACAGGTTGTGCCACACCCAGTCACTAGAAGGCTTTTTTTTTTTTTGAGAAAAGTACAAGGAATCTAGTAGAATAATACAGCTGCTGATGTTGAAAGTAGGACTCCAAGACTAACATTCCTGTCTGATTGCCTTTATAAACAGTGCTCAGTAATTTTCCAGTACAGTAGTCATTCTGCTAACAGACTTGCCAACTTTCACTCACACAGGTTTCTTTTTTTCTTTAGTGATTATCATTTTGACAGCTTTTTTTTTTTTCTTTTTCAATTTCCCACCAATAAGATCAGCCATGGAAGAATGTTTTATAATTTACATACACCTTGGGAAGTTCTTTATTCAGATGGAAGCCATTGTTGCCTGTCCTCCTCCCCCAGATGAGCAGATCTCAGTTTTGGAGGACTCAGTGTGGGGTCAGTGTGAGGAGGGGTCCTGCTGGCTGCCACCAAGGGACAGAATTTCAGCACTCTCAGAGCTCCTCTGCAGTGAGTTTTCCCTACCCACCTCCATGGCAGGTATAGCTTTAATGGGGCAACTGGTTTCCAGCTCCATTCCCTGTCTTTCCAGGAAGGCAGTGCCTTCTCAGCTCCCAGCACACGATGCAAACTGTGAAGA